ATTACTTACATATTCCTGATAGGTAAAACCGGGATAGGTGAATTGAGTCACAGACAAGCACTCCAGCAGGGTAGAGTTTACTAGCAGAGGAAAAAGCACCTGGGACAGTTCCCTTCGGGCTAGAGAAGCTGTCCCTCTGCAAGTTGTTGGCTGGGGTCTTTTATAGGGGGCTTTGGGGGATGCAGAAGGCGGGAAAATGTTTTTTAAAAAAAAATTAGGCGGGAGAGAGAGAGAGCCCGGGGCTTATCGGAGAGAGTAGCCTCCGTCAAACCACCCTCCTCCATCAGCCAGGATCTGGGTCAATGGTTTATCCTTTAAGATCATCAAAGAGGAAGCATACTGTGCTGAAGCAACTCCTTGAAGTCTCTGATCAAAAGGTGGAGTCTGTTTATCTTGTCTTCCAAGATCAGGGTGCTCATTAACTCAGTTCCTGCATTCTCAGGGGCCCTGCAGAACCATGAGGCCCTGCTGCATTGGGGAGGGAGTTGCTGTAGGTTCAAACCCTAACAATCCCAAGGTAGTAACTATCGCTGCCATGGGCTACCAGACTATCGCTGTTATTCTTTCCATTCTCATGTTTCTCATTTTCAACATTTATATCATTTTTTATACTTCAACATGCATTCTGCTAGGATGAATAACAGTATCTGGAACAGCTTGGCTTTTCTGTTAGCTGGCCTGCAGGATGTTGAAGAGCTGTCCTGACATGGAAATCACACCATTCACTTTGAGTTACTAATCTGTTCACTTGACTACTTTTTAAACAGATTCACATTGTTTTGTTTGCTCTAACCACATTTTGTGGCAGAACCATAACATCCATAAGCATTAATGAAAATATTTGTTTAAAAAGAAAAAGGCTGGCATGTGCTAGATAAACATAAGGACTTCTTTGGTCTAAAGGATGTGTTTTTTTATGTTGAAAAAAATCTCCAGTGCAACATTATAAAGACATTGGGTTTCATTTATAGCATTTTATTTTGTAATTCACTTTTTGTTGCTAACAAATGCTTATTTTAGGAAATTACAGAAATACAGAAAAGCATAAAACAGTGGATAAAGTCACTAGTTGTATCATGACCCTGTGATAACTACTGGTGGCATTTTAGTTACTATTTTCCAATATCTTCTAGCACATGTAAAAAGGTCTCATTATATGATTGGCCAGCTTCCTCTCTCAGTACGTTGATAGTTCTCTGTGCTGAAGGTGTTCCTCTTTATCACTGATGGCTGTAAAATATCCTGCCCTACACGAATAACGCATTTTAACTAGTCTTTTAGTAATTGTCAATTCCAACCTGTTTACTTACAAATTAATAATGTCAAACATTCACAACTAATTATTTCCACAGAACTGATTTCTGGGGCCAGAAATTTAGGGGCAAATGATTATTCACAATCTTAAGAGACACGGTATTGAATTATAAGAAAAATCCACAAAGCCAGTGTCTTTGGGACTCTATGAAGGCAGATTGTCTGTGTGGCTGCTCCCTCTGTATTCATTAGTCCTCTAGGTACCCAGGTAACCTTCAGTTTGGTTTTGTTTTTTAATTTATTTTTATTTTTTAAAATAATTTATTGAGAATTTCATACATGCATATAAGATGTTTTGATCAAATCTATGCCTACTCCCTCCTCTCCAGCTCCTCCCATATCTCCCCATCACTTTTTTTCTGATAACTTCATGTACTCTTTCTTCTTCTTTGATTTTTTTTGGGGGGGGCTTTTGGCTACTCTAACAGTCCCCTTTCTAAAGAGGTAACCCTAAAATCTTTTAAGGATTAGATACAAGCTCCCAAATATTTTCAATATTTTTGCCTTTGGACCGGAGTATGTTGCTAAGAGGCTCAAGGACATTGTGAGTTTTAGGCAAGAAACTGGCTACTTTTCTTTGGGGTCTTTTTACCCTAACTGCTTAGCCAATTTCTACTTCTTATTCTTATCACACCATCTTCTGAAGAGGTTACCCAAATTGCCAATAGGAAACCAGGACACAGACTTCTCTGGCTTCTTCCATGCTGAACAGGGATGCAGGGTGAGGCAATTGGAGTACCCTTTCAGTGGGTCTATCTAAAAGACTCCCAAATTATATAACTAATATCTCAAGGAGGAAAAGGAAGTCTTTGAATCGAGAATAGGAGATGTGAAGGAGAAGTAAAGGCAAGAGTAATTAGCATTACAAGTTCTAGACAGGGAACTGGAAAAAAGTCAGAACAGGACAATTTTCAAATGTTCATATGAGAGTCCATTGGAATTTCTTGACAGGAGTTTTCTCCTGCCCTCCCTCCCTTACTTCCTCTCTCTCTTTCTCTCTTTCTCTCTCTCCTCTCTCCTTCCCTTCCTTCCTTCCTTCCTTCCTTCCTTCCTTCCTTCCTTCCTTCCTTCCTTCCTTCCTTCCTCTCATCTCTCCATATAGCCCAGGCTGGCCTCAAACTCACAATCCTCCTTCCACAATCTTGAGAATGCTGGGATTACAGGTGTGTGCCACCATTTTGGCAATTTTCACAAGAGACTGAGGTAAGAGGATCACAAGTTCAAGGTCTGTCTGTGCTACATAGTAAGTTCAAGCCAGCCTAGAGAACTTAGCAATTCTGTGTCAAGAATGAAAATAGAAAAAAGACTTGGAATACACCTAAGCTAGAGAATACTTGCCTATCAAGCACATGACCTTGGGGGCTGAAGAGATGGCTCAGCAGTTAAGAGCTACTCTTGCAGAGGACCAGGGTTCAGTTCCCGGCACCCACCGACACCTAACAACCATCTGTAACTCCAATTCCAGGGCATCTGATACCCTCTTCTAACCTCTGTGAGCATTGCATGACACAGGTGCACTTACATACATGCAGGTAATATACTCATATGCATAAAAATAGTTTTTAAAAGACTGAAATTATATATACATACATATGTGTGTATACACACACAGAGAGAGTTCAACAGGGGTTAGGGGAGTAGCTCAGTGGTATAACATGTGTTGTCTCCTGCCATGCCTCCCTTACCATGATGAACTCTTATCCCTTTGGAACTGTTAGTCCAAGAAACTCTTCTTTCTATAAATTGCGTTGGTAATGGTGTTTTGTCACAGGAACAGAAAAGAAGCTAACACACTGCATCACTAAAATGGTGATTTTTCAAACAGAGAAAAATGATTCCAGAAGAAAAAGTGGAGATTCAGAAAAAGATGAGAAATAAAAAATGTTAATTATTTGAAAAATTCTAATAAGACAACAATAATTCTCTCAAGAGGGTCTTAAACTATAGAATTAAAATATATCACAATAAGGGCTGGGGACATGGCTCAGCAATTAAGAGCACTGGCTGCTCTTGCAAAGGACCCAGGTTCAATTTCTAGCACCCACACGATGGCTGACAATTCCAGTTCCAAGTGAATCTGATGCCCTGTTCTGATGTCTGCAGGCATTGCATGACACAGGTGCACTTGCATACATGCAGGCAATACAGTCATACATATAAAATAAAAATAATAAATAAAATATTAAAAAATATATATCACAGTAATAACACAAAAGTGTGGGGGAGGTAAATGGATTATAATAATCTAAGGTCTTTCTTTGGGAGGGGGTACTAGGGATCTATTCTACCTCTAAGCTGTATCCTTAGCTCCTCTTTTTACTTTCATTTTTAGAGAAGGTCTCGCTAAATTGTCTAGACTGGCCTTGAATAGACTCTATAGGTCAGGCAGGACTTGAACTTGCAATCCTCCTGCCTCAGCTTCCTGAGTAGCTAGGATTACAAGCTTAGCTTACCAGGCTTGGCTTCTAAGCTCCTTACACCTCTGGGTAAGGGATCAAGTTCAAATTAATATTATACTTTAATATACCAGCATGTGAAGCAGGCATGGTAGCGAATGCCTTTAATCCCAGCACTCGGAAGGCAGGGGCAGGTGGATCTCTGTGAGTTCAAGGCCAGCCTGGTCTACCTAGTGAGTTCCAGGACA